AGCAGGTCTATATTTCACAAAAAGTCTCTGTCCTCGGCAACTTCTAACTTTGGCTGTCTGGCTAGGCCTCAGAAAAGCGTGTTGACTGTGCCGTCTGGCCGCGGTACGTGGAGTAGATCTCCCACGACGACAGGGCCGACATGAACCGGAAGAAGATGCACAGAGGGGCGACAAACCGCGTCACCTGGTACCACTGGACCTGTCCGTAGTACCCGTACTGTACCGGGGTAGACTCCGCGTCTTTCAGGTCTATGAAGCTGTTCAGGACCCACAGTCCCACGTTGGTGACGATGAGATAGGTCCAGACTTGGAACTTGAAGACGCCGGATGTCTCCAAACTCTGGAAGACAGGCCTCCTCCTGATGGCTGTGATCAACAGAGTCACCTGCAGCCACACCTGGATCATGTTCATCGCCACGTCAAAGAAGAGAAGCGGCGCGATGACCCGTCGGTAATCATCGCCGCTGCCTTCGTACCACCCGGCGAATGCCGACGCGAACCCGAAGTAGTCGTAGACGAAGAAGCCGATGGCCGCGATGACCAGGAGTGCGTCGTTCTCTCCGTACCCGGTCCAGACGAACTCGTACCGCTCCATGGTCTGGAACCCCAGCCAGCACGCGGCTATCATGGACAAAGTCACGAAAATCTTCACTACTAAGTACGCGATGATGTACCTGTCGTAGTTGACCTGATCCTTCAGCAGTATGGCCAGCACCAACAGGAGAGCCGAGATGAGGAAACCCGCCATGAAGCAGGTACAACCTCCCGGTTCCTTGTCCGTCCCGCCCTGAGTGAGAAGGGACGCCCGGCTGGGGTACGAGGAGGGAGGGGGGCTGCGGGCGGCTAACGTGGACGGCGCCTCTGCCACGTTTGAGGCAAAACTGATGGTTCTCTCTCCCATCCCCATCCGCGATGAGTTGATCTGGCCCGAGTCCTCCACGATGACGATAGTAGGTGACAGCGGCCTGGAGTGACTCCCTCCCTCATCCTTCTCGGGTTCCATCACCGTGACGGAACCGTCCACTGAAGACTCCACCAAGTCGTCGATGTCCACGGCGACATTGTCGTACGCAAGGTATGACGAAGGGCCGGGGTCGACGTTAGATATTCTCAGGCCTTGTTGTGCATGCCGTGCGGTAGGCGGGAGCTGTGGACGGAAGGTACCCAGGGTAGCCCCCGGGCGGACATGTACGTGGTCGTCTTCAGTCAGCGGAGTAGAATGGGCTTTCGGTAAGCCGACAGCCGCTGGGAATGAACAAGAAAAAGGCGAGGTTAGTGTGTAGAATACGTACTGGGTGATGTAAAATTATAAGTCAAATAACTTAACATTACTATTTCAAACTATCATGTGGGTTTAAAAGCTGTACATGTATATAGCTTTCAGCCTGCAAAGTTTTTCAATGGGCCGTTGAAATTTAAAGAACGTCAGGCCATCTCTTTGCGTGTAGGTTGTGCACATAGGTTCACAAAAACAAATACTTATAGGAGGTCTGAAATCATCGAAAGACCTCAAAGCACGGAGAACATGGGGGTCAATAAATCAGCTCCAACAAAATAAACTGATTCTTTAGTACCTGATGGAAGCTCCTGGTACCGCCCCTCCTCTTCCTCCGCCTGTTCCTCATGTTGTCTCTGTCCTCCTGGTACCTCATTCTCAGATGGTCGCCCCAGGGTGCCTTGGTCTACCTTGTCCCTGACCTCTCGCAGCTCCACACTCTGCCCCCCTCCCATGTCGTCCAACACCCGCATATTGGCCCACATGCCATACAGGATACCGGAGGCCAGCAGGGCGTATTCTGTCGTTTAGAAAATGACGAAAAAATGAGTATGAAACATTATTTTCTACTTTCGCATTAGCTTTGGAGTCTGCTGAAGATGCCATCCATAAAATTGACTTGCTGTGGCCTAATGTAAATTTAGGTGGAAAGCACTCTGCTTTTATTATACGTACTAATTATACATACATATAGCCTTATATACACATATTTACGTATATATAGTATGCTACAATAGAGAGGAATTTGTGAAGCACACGTACTAGTTATCACACGTCAGATTGCCTTTAGTGTGATGTACAATGTATAGCTGAATCAATAATAGAAGTAACATTGGAAAGTTTCCAAAACATCTGCACCTTTCCCGGTCATGACTACAGGCACGTACGGACCCCGATCATTACCACATTATTAAGTGCAAACACATTACACCCCGGCGGGCACAGGAAAGTTCAAATAATCAATCTCACTAACCTAGCGTGAATGGATACAAATAGGGCTCCACGTCTGTCAACAGGCGGTGTTGGTAGGTCGTCCTTTGTGTGCACTCCGTGGCGTGGATTGTCGTGTTGCCATGGCCCGTGCCATTCCCGGTGGCATTGTGTGTGAAGTCGCTCGTGCCACCGCCCTGGGTGACCGTGTTGGCTACCAGCGTGTGAACCCAGATGGAGATGTCTCCCGCCAGGACGAAGAAGAACAGGTATCGGAAGAGCGGCGCGCTGTGGAAGGTCGCGTCTGAGAACTTCCTGAGGAAGCCCATCTGACAGAGCACGAACAGGAGCTTCAGGACGTGGAAGACGAGGTTGACGACATCACTGTCGAACGTCGGCGTGGCGTCCAGGCACTGCGCAATGGCGTTGACGCTACAGCGTTAAGAAAGCATATCAGTGGAAAGTGTATTAGTCCTGCTTTATGGAAAACGTAGAGAAAGACCGACTAAAAACATCGTCAGAATTTCAACGTACTGCGTCAAACTTTCCAGTGTTTTCCGGATTATGAGTCTCATTTCGTTCGCTTATACAAGCCCCTTAAAATCGTGAAAGATAACGCATAACTATGGAAAAGAACAAACTGCAAAACACTAAATACAGCTATCAAAAATCATGATTAACGAGAAATATGTACAAGTTTATGATCTATATTACATACCTAAAGATGTCCATGAGAATGGTGCCGGCACCGAAGGCAAAGATGCCCAGTACCGTGAGTTTGGAGGACAGAGCGGTTGGTGACGTCGGCCCGGCTAGAGACGTGTCTCCGTGTGACGTAATTCCGTAGAACACCCTATAAAAATTCATTTCAGCAAAATGTTAATAAACACGTGTCCTACATGAGTAATACACGAAGTAATTCAACCATAAACCGTCGACTGAAAAAGTTGTTTCTACGTGCGACGCTCTTGGCTCGTATGTAGGTCAGATTCTACCACAGATTAATCTCCAAGCAGATCATACGGTTGCAACGCAGTATACATTGTCCAGAGTGTCCATGGACACTCCTCAGGCTGGCCAATGAATGGGTACTACCTTGCGACCGTACACATGTATCTGCTTGCAGGCTAGCGACCGTATGATCTGCTTGGAGACTAGCGACCGTATGATCTGCTTAGAGATTACCACAGATGACTTACCTGTAGTTTTTATAACAACAGAAGAATGACAACATAGCGATGAGACCCGGCCCCACACACAGGATCAGGACGATCCTCACGGTCTGTGTGGTGACGGGGAAGACCGTCCCGTCGGGCGCCAGCGCGCTGGACGTGGACAGGACCGCCGCAAACGCTACGATGTTGACCAGCAGGAGAACTGTGGAGATCCGGCCGTCCTGTTGGGAACGCCTGCTGTCTCCCGTTACCAGCGGCCACAGGCAGGCGGCCAGGCAGGTCATGTCGGGCTGCTGTAACGCGATTGAGTCACGGAAACCAAATCAACTGCTACCAGCTGAGGAATCGTTCAGATTGCGACTGTAACGGCCGAAGCACGTAGGTCCTCTTGAACTTAATTCCCGTTAAACAATAGTTTGTAACGGTCCTTTGGATGTTGACGACGGCTTTGAACTTTTTAACTTCCACCAACTTTCTCAAGACATATCCTCGTTGTACAAGGTGCCCCAGGCGGAGGTTTTAGTTTTCTTGTAGTTCATCACTCAAACGCGGAGGTTGGTAATACTTTAAGCATGAAGGTATAGCGTCACAGCCAAGTGTTGCCACGGCAATGTGACAAACACGTCACCCGTCAAAACACACTTTTCATTGTGGTGTTTTGCTGGGACCGGGGGAGAAACATTCACTACAACTCAGGGAATGAACCATGGAAAAACAAAATTTCATCCTCTGAAATAACACATCTCTCGCACCAACTTTTTTTCTAGAGTACCAAACTGGACAAACACTATCTTCAGTCGGCATCACTACCAATACCAAGTGAACAGCCCCTGACTGAGTTAAATCTTTAAGTGATTACCCCCGCCTGAAAATAAATCACCGAACAACACAACTGTGTAGTAACCGCATTGCTACCACATTGCCCCGCAACTGGATTAGCCTGACATTATTGTTTGCACTGCGTTAGTTTACCTTGGACTGTAGCCAACTGCTTCTTTGGCAAATTCAATTAACGATTAAAGTAACTGCCAGTGCTACCATGTGCGCATTGTTGCTAACTGTAGTACACCAAACATTTCTGACAACTATTGTCCACTAATATTTCAGTACTGTTACCTGCGAGGCCGTTCTTTGTGCCTGAGCTTAGGATGTTCTAAACATTCCTGAAGAACATTACCAAACGTCTGTAAAGATTCTTTTGTTACTTGTAATTTTAAATATTAATTAATTAAATGCAGAGGTCAATGACCTTTTAACAATAACAGCATTACCCAATATTGTTTGGGTTCACCCATATTCAACCAGCCACAGAGTACTGACTCTAAGATAGATAATCTGTTCTGTTGATCAAGAGATCGGACAGATCATTCACAGTCACTTGTGTACACTGGAACTTTATGGAGATCTGTGGGATAGTTTTATTTCCAAACTTTTGTGGTAATACTTTGCCACAGCACCCTTTAATACAGCCACAAACTAAAAAGTCTTGCTTTTTAGTATATACATTGTATATGTATATATTTAACAGACTACTGAGAAATTAAATTACAGCATGATTATATATACATAGTTACAAATCATTTGCAAGATAGATATAGTTAGCAGATATCACTCATACGTTTCTGTCATATGTATGGACAATACATTTGAACATGTTATAGAGCAGACTTCTACATGAATGCAGCTACTTCTTCATTGTCTTCTTTCTGGAAGGGGGTCCTCATAAGGTGGTAGCCTTGCTACTACTTCTTTTGCTAGTGTTCTGTAAGCTTGTGCCTGGAGAGATAAAAAGAGAGAAAATTTAAGCAGCATATACCAAGTTGCCAGTCAAGACCATAGTATGTTCAGGACAAAAGATACAAAAACCAGAAGTTCTGCTGCAGTACCAAGGTCAGCCACCATATTTGGCCTTTGTCTTCCTAAGACTTACCAGCATACCAAATATCATCACAATCCATAAAGGCGTTTTAAAGTTATGCTGACTACAAATGTGCAGAAACACACACACACACACACAGACAGACAGACAGACACACCAAAAACAATCATCCATTTTTCATGGAGGTAATAAGAGGTGATACTAGTAGCTAGCTGACCTGAGGACTTTCTGGCTGGGACACTGTGACAGGCTGGCCACTGTCCGATGTTTCTCTGATACTGATGTGAAGGGGTATGTCACCTGCAACAGTAACCAGGAACTCTTATCTGTACCTGTCAGTCTTAATTGGAAAAGCATCAACACCCACACAAACACGTCTGACCAGTTTGGTGGTCCAACAGCATCTTGTGCACGACAACACTAGCAGCTGTAGTTCAACCAAACATCACAAGGTGGTGCTCCTACCTGGTTGCCAGCCACTGACTAGTCAAAATTACACCAACCAAGGGTAAAGCATACAGATATTCTATAGATCAATTGTTAACATATCATGTGGACATCAGAAGTGATTTCCTTTAACTGACTTTAAACAAAAGGAATCAGTCACCTATAACTTGTAGTTCCATTTCTTCAGCTACTTTCTTGGCTCCATCCTGTCCAAATATGTGTGTCTGGTGTCCACATTTTGGACATTGAAACACACTCATGTTCTGTACAAGACCAAGCACCTGTGGAGACAAAGTCTGGACTGTTACTGATTTTACATTATACAAGCTCATAGCTTTGATGTGCCACAAAGTAGGAAGATCATCTATGAAATGTAAAACCATTCATTTGTCTAAAACATTGTACTGATTCAACAATGATTTTCCTTGATGACTGTTACTCACTGGAACATTGACTTTTCTGAACATTTCTGCTCCTTTTCTAGCATCTAGTAGGGCAATGTCCTGGGGAGTAGACACAATTACAGCACCTGAAAAACAACACAATAAAGCAAATCTTCAAGTGCCAATGAAAGGCAGTGTTAAGATGAAAATGCATTTACAATTAACATAAAATATTCAGATACTTAATAAACAAATTCTTTAGCCCATGCAAATGTATGCACCATCAATAGGGATGTTCTGTGACATGGACAGTTGAGTGTCTCCTGTCCCTGGCGGCATGTCAACAACCAGGTAATCCAGAGGGCCCCAGCACACCTGCAAAGGTACAGAACAATACATCATTATATAATTCAATTGCTTATCATGCTATTACATTACTGTCTTTTGCAAATTTATACCAGAATCTATGGTTCCTCTCTGTCAGTCAGTCTCAAAAGACTTGGATGGTACAGTTCCTTTACAAATCTTAGCTTAAAATCAAGATACAATGGTCACAATGCCATGATACAGTCTTCCCATCGGTAACATTTTAACTGTAATTACTGATAGTGTCTAACCTGTCGGAGAAGTTTCTGTACAGCAGACATGACCATCAGTCCTCTCCAGACCAGCGGGGACTTCTCATCCACCAGGAAACCCATCGACATGCTGGAAGGTTAACAAGTTGTGCCGTTATGGGGATAGGTAAAAGGTTATAGACAACAATGGCAAAGGGCCCATAGCTTTTTACCTACATATGTTGAAATGGTTTACTGTTTTTCATCTGGATGGAAGTATTTAGCAGGTGGGTAGGTGGGGTAAAGTGAATTGTGTATGTTGATTTTGCGCCCCCTGGTGATTGACCTAAGTATTGCTGTAGGTATTAAAAAAATATCTGTACTCATCACCACTCTTTAAATGGGGATAAATCATACCTCACAATCTGTTCCTTTATATCTTACTTTATGGAAGATTTCAACATAAGAACATAATGTAGTTTAGACTTACCATGATATACCAAAGTTGACAAGTGGTTTCATCAGATTTTCTGAAGAAAATAAGCAAGGTAAGAGATTCAAAATTCAGATTACATTCTTAACAAAGTATGAAGAACTAAAAGGAATAACAAGAATGGAAATTATGTTAACTGTCACACTTATACTTACGTTTATTGAGTTCCGGCTCCCCTGATAGGTTCATCATGCGAGGGATGGAGGGTCCGTACACATCAGCATCTAACAACCCTACAGACTTACCCTGTAACCACGGGCCATATACAGTCATATGTCATGTACATTTGTAATACACAGGGGTAAACTGTAGCTATTAGCCTAAACATTCTGTTAGCATAATAATGAGAGATCATCGGTGCATCATCTTACTAGTACAAATGTATATAGATAATGTGCATTCAACAAAAATACAATATTGAGATGATCACCAGTGTGTATACTTCACCTTGTCATTTGCTGAAATGGCCAATGCTAGATTTACTGAAAGGCAAACAGACATGCTATAAGTACAAAACACATTACATTAAATGCAATTTGTGATTAAATCTAGAATGGCTCCTTTAACAGATCAGAGGGGTAGTGGATACGGGTCTTAATTATTACGCATTATGCTGAATTTTCGCTGCCAATTACGAATGACGTTATATCATGGAGTACACTATATGGATTACGTTTTTAACAAGTGCATAAATATGTTGCATATAGTATGAAAATGACCAATTACATGTATATTGTAACGTTATGTGTTACGGCTAATGTACTGATTACAGATTAACTTGATCTTGGGTGACTGCCTACGGATTACAAAGACTCGAAAAGGCCTCACAACGCCTTCCAAAAAGGGCCTATAACTTATAAAATCCTCCCTCACCTGCGGTTGTTGACTTCCCCACCCCACCCTTCCCAGAAGCCACCACGATGACCTGCTTGACCCCAGCAATGGGGAGTTTCTTGGGTAAGCCTCGCTCCATCAGCCTCTGTCTGTGGTCATCCTGTCCTGCTGTACCGGCTTTGGGAATACCCTGGAAGAAGTATGAACAAGTCACACAACTACTGTAGATGTACCGTCACATCATTGTGATAACATGTGCGCATGCAATAGTACGTACATATGAAATAATACTAAGTTTTCAAGCATCGTGTTTCGATGTAGCCAATAGATTTTTCAGCAATAAGCCTAATGATACCTGAACATTGTTTGTTGTATTGGAGGGTTGCCTACTAAATACTAGTAAATGACCCGTAAATATATGAGTGACTTGATAGAAAGAAATGTATTTGCACTCTATTATTCTGCACATCTTGTTAATCAAACAACAACCAGTGATTATGCAGTTTTTATCTAGACTTCTAATCTCGTAGGAAGGAGAATGATTTTCTTACGTGAGTCTGATCGATCGTTCAAAAGAAGTAATTTATTACTATTAAGAGCTCATATGTGCATATGGACATCATGCATATGTGAACCTCATTAGCAGACGACGCAGCATGCACAAGCACTGTTTTTCTGTTTCAAATAAATGCATCACACCACAAACATTGTCTCTGGTTTCTTCCCAACACCAGTACGTACCAGCGGGTTCTCGTGGGTTGAAAACGATACCCCAAACCACAGAGGACGTTGTTTTTCTGCCTTTTTCACTAGGAGGGAACCAAATTTCTTCAAGATCGCCGCCATTTTTGTTTTGCAGCTCTCGCGATACTCCGCGAGATTGTGCGAGAGTATCTGGACGCGCCAGATACCTGTTCAGGGGGGTCAGTTTTGTTGTAAAATATCCTTAATTACCTTTACACATAAAGCCATGAAAAATGTCAAAAATTTCCCTTTCATCAAAAAAGTAGAATCATTACACATGTAGAATTATACCTATTTAACGTGTGTGTTGGAAATATCCGTGTTTGTCTATTTTAGAAAACTGTGTATCCCTAGGTAAATGTGGCCTCCCTGTTGAAGCGTTCATCTATCGGTCGCGTCGCCATAGTTGTTTGCGCTTGTAGAGTTGTAGGTGGGGTCGGGGGCTGAAACTTCGCACCACAATAATGCCGTTTTTCGAGACTTGCGGGCCCAACGAGGCCATGGTGGTATCGGGTAAGTACCCAAGGTTGTAGACACGTGGAATATTGTTCAAAAGTTGTCCGCATTTGTGGAAAAACTGTAGAAAAGGAAGCATCTGGTCTATGTTTTTGTGCTGCTGCTGATGCACACGGATGGGGAGGGGAGGGGAGGGGGGCGGTCCTGCTCTGTTATTTTTCTGTTCCCAACGGAAATGATCTTGCAATTGGTATAATTTGTAGCAGCCTTTGGAGACTTGTTTTTACTCGTCTATCTCAAGACCTCAATTACACTTTTGTTCCCGTTGATAGACCAGAGAACGCTTTGGATCACATGAAAATTATGCTCCGTATGCACAAAACAAATATTTTTTTGACGAAGTTATGATAGGGATAGGATAGGATTCGTAAAGCATTTTCTACTTATCTTTACTGGTTGTATTTTCAAAATACATCTTATCTATGCTATGATATGTTTTTCACATCTGCTCAAGTATTTCTTCAGCAATAGTCGTGTTATCAAATCATTTGTTTTTGATGCACCCATACTCATATAGTCACATGTGTTGGTAGGTGTGTTGGTAAATTTCCATGAAAATGATTTATGATTATTATATGAATGCTGATGTGAAGTAGCATGTTTGGGCCATGTTGATTTGATTACGTGGATGACATCAGCATGCACATGAATTTTCGTCCATTTCCAAAGAAAAAGCTTTTCGACCATACTGTAATTTAGCCTGGGTGCTACCTGATAGCCAGCGACATTAGGGAGCCAGTAGAAACTACGCAGGATGGCACCCAGGCTAACTGTAATTACAAAGCAGCTGCAAAGTGAAGAAGTATATGTAGTAATGTCCTGTAGCAGAAACAGATCAGGAAATAGGAAGCAGTATGTTTCCCTTTACTTTAGGACAAAGCAAGATATATAAAAGGAGCAGTATATTTCACTTCAGAATAAAAGTATTGAATTAAATTTATCTTAATTTGGGAGTCCTTGTTGTACTCAGTTTACAGTATAGATATACATAATGACAATCAATAATGACGCACAGGTTTGTATATATTGTAAATATGGAATATGGGAATGATCAACCATCAACAGGTCTTGCTTTCTTATAAGAAATTTTGAAATTTCTATGAAAATATGAGCTTCAAAATCCCATGAGAAGCTGGTTCCGTGTTACAAGCGTAATGGTGTTTTGCCATTCTGTGCTAACCCTACATGAATAACGACTGAAGCCTGACTGCTACTGTAGTTAATCATCCATGACCCCATTTCACAGTGTACAGTGAAATTTTTACTGTACACTAAAGCCAAAGGCTGAAAAAAATTTCCATTGGCTTTTGAATCGGAAGTGGATGCTTGCAAAAATTGCAATTTCTTATCTTGATGTTAAGTTCTGTCAAGATCTCCGTTCTATAAATAATGCATATAACTCTCGAGAATGGCTTGCTGGAATTAAATTATACTTTCTCATTAACTTCATTTTCCATGGAGAACAGCATACTGCATGCAGGTCATTCTTAAACCTTCATCCTATTTATCCTAAATGTGCACTTTACTGGAAAGACTAACTGGCAAAGAGTATTAAAAATCCTTGATTCGTGTTTAGCTGCATAAGCTCCTTTTTTGCCTGCTTTATTACCCTCCATGAAAATGGGGGTACTGTTTTTACTCCGTTTCATGTTTGGTCTGATATCTGAAGATCGGTGAGAAGGAACTGTACGATATTTGGCAGATTGATGGATGAGGCCTTGGAGATTGTGTAGGTTGACTTTGAGCTCCTGGTGATTGACCTTGGTACTGCAGTTTAATTTTTTTATTCTGTTGTTTTCGCGTTATGGACTGTTTGTGCGATATTAAGGTAGCATGTAGTTGTTATTACCATGGTTTAGTGGTTTAAATTTGGGTCCCCTAGCTGTTTGCGTTTGATATTTACAAAATGTTTAATGTTGGACTTTTTGTGTTGAATGTTTGGAAAATCTGGGGGATGGTTTGGTATGATTTTTGGTATGTGGGTAGTTGTTGAGTCTCTTTGTGTTTTGGAGTGCATTAGCAGGTTGTCGCATATTTTTATTGCTTAATTTAAAAGGATTTTCACTTTTTCACCCCTACTTCATAATAGGATGGTCTGTTTGACCCAAAAGTTGGGACAGAGTGTTTTTGTTTATACCTCCAGCTGGCAGATCAGACCCAGGCAGCCCTATCTATTTTTACCCCTAGACTGCAGGAAAATAAATCTTGTTTGTCTGGTCTGCAGGTCATTTGCCTGGTCATTGACCTACATGTACAGGCAAATGTAGCCTGGGTACCATCCCCAGTAGTATATTCGCAAACTATAAATACAAAGTGCCACCACAAATCATTCTGCTGATAAAAACAAAGTTTGACTCATAATATCTCTATTGAAATACACCAAAAGATTACAAAATAACAAGCTATTTCATGGAGGGATGATGTCTACGACTTCTCCTTGTTTGTTAGTGTGAAGCTAATTCTAGTAATTAGACCACATTAGGCAAGGGCCAATGACTAATCATATGATGATGATCATACTAGTATTTAAAAATACCCAGTCAGTAGTACTAATCATATAATAATGGTTAGGGCAGAAAGAGGAAGAAGCAGTGTTTTTGTAATCTACAAACAGATGTTGGGGAGGAAGATCATTTTCCCACCGCTGGATTTCTATTACTAGTATCTTTCACCCAAATATTTGAGATGCTTGGACTGTTGGAGATTAGTGTATTTGATAATGTGTGTATGCAATTTGACATGTAGTTTCAATGACATGGTATTACTGATAGATGTAATAGTACATGTTGTACTGATGTCTTTGGTGTGTTCAGTGTCTGTTGTACAGTGTACACATGTAACCCTGTTAAATGAACCATACAGCACTAGTAATCTTTTTAGATTGTTAACTAGACAAAATACCTAGCCTCCTAGGGCATAAACAAAAGTCAGGGCCACATACATGTACTGAAAATTGCCCGCACAGGTGTTCCAAAAGGGTGTTTGACGAATTTGCCTTCCAGGCCTTTTGGTTTGGGTTTGTTGAATTCTTGACTACAGTAAACATGTCCTTTTGACTAGCCCTGGGGCCTGTCAAATATGTCGCTGGTATTTTTCCACACCTCTATGCCTGTGTAAGTTAGTACAATACAGGGTTGGTGTGGTGCGTCATAGTCATGTGTTTATTTGTTCTACAGGTCATTCAGGTGAGGTCAGTGGACCTTAGAGGGTGTTATTTTTGGACATGAATATTTCATAAGTGATAATGATTTACCAGTAATTGTTTAATTGCTGTAGATAAAAGTGACTCTTCCTGATGTACAATATTTCTTCAGAAGGAAAATTCTCACTTCATACATTATAGTTATACACAACATAAGTTATGATGACAAAGAGAAGCCGTCAAATTTAGAAGTATCATCGATCTGTGTACCTGTGGGTTATTTGGCAATGCAAATGAATAACGTAAGGTTGGAGGATGAACTGAACTGATGGCCACAATATCAATTTTATGTTATACAAATGCTTTATTTCTCATGCAAATTTAGTGTAAATATAGTTTGTTATCATGTGTAGAAAGATTACAGCATGACGTAGATGAAGCACTAGGATATATATGGGCTGGATTCAGGGAGCAACAAATATAATTATAACATGTGATTGTGAATGTCATTAGATGATAAAAGTGCAGTGAACTTTTAGTAGATTGATTCTTGGTCAAAGTTGCACATGCCTGTTTTACAAACACAACATGGTATGGCTCCTCTAATACATTAGATAGGTAAAACATTATCAGACAAAATCAGAAAACAAGACATACTGTCATAAGATGATATTAGGTGTAAGTGCAGAAATTTGACACAGAAATCCCTGGCTGTAGCCCTCTACTGATGCTGTCGGCTATAGCCTGTAGCGGTCCCCACATGCATAATGGTATTACCCTAATGACGTACCAGATCCCCAGTGATTTTGCCCATCTCTGTATGCTGACATCAGTACATTAAGCAGCCTGCCTCAAAATTGCTGCAAAAATGTCAGAAACCAATGGGGAAGAGGACTCCTATTTCTTCCAAGTGTGCGGGCCGAATGAGGCTCTGGTAGTGTCAGGTAAGATTAAGGCCTACATTCCTGGAAATGTGTCTGTTTTTGGATGTTGATGAGCTTGCCCATGGGTAGAGGTCGCGCTGTGTTCCAGCCATAACAGGCCGTACGTGATTTGAAATCCATTAGCCACGCCTTTATTTTGTGGAAACGTTGCAGGCAATTTAGGACAGAAAATCACATTTGCATGCCTCCTGCTTTTATTGTCAATCGCCTTGCATATTGAGAATCTACGTGTAGCGGTAAATAAGTGTTGTCATACCATACTGATCATTTGGCAGTTGGTGCACCGTTAGGAGGTGTGGCATACACATATTTATGTGATGTGATGTCAAATTTACAGTCAAGTTTGTTGAAATTTTGCCTTGGGAAACATTTCACTGTAATAGTTACTGTATACTAAAACGTACACTGATACAGTAACCCTATTGATTTTTAAAACGTCTATTAAATGAACAGTGAATGGTCCTTTGTTATTTTTGCAATGGGATGATTCCATGTTGGCAAAGCTAAAGGGGAAGGTGAATGTGTTGTTTACATGCCTTGCACATTTTGCTTCAAATACAAGACCAGATCAGAAACAAGCCATTGAAAACTTGACATTCCTTTAGCTTGTGTTAAAATAGTCATCAGCATAAGCCTGGTGTCCTTAAAATGACGGTGGTAAGCGGTTGTAATTTGGTTTTCAATTTTGCTGTCTATAATTGATGAGGCTGTGACGCAGGCTACAGCAATTTCTCCATGGAGGCACCATTACGCAGACATTACGTCTAGCTGGTAATACACTGGAAAGGCATTGAAATATTTAAGTGTAGTAATTCAAATGCAGCATATTTTTTCTTGCTTGTAATGCATGTAGGTACGTGTTATGATTGCGTGTTAGTTGTGTCCAGAGAGTAGTTGAGTTTGTGAACCAAAAAATAAATATCCAATTGGAATGCTTGAAGGACACTTTCGATTTAGGTTAAGAATTATGCAGATTCTATTAGTATTAAAGACATTCTGATGTATAACTAAATTTTGGTACAGGAAGCATAGAGTAAAGGAAGATCTATGGTGTTGATATTCTCTGTATCTAATTTAGATTATCATTTAATATTCTAAAGCAGACTGGAAAGGTTTGTGGATTTGAGAAGGAGGCGTGTCCATGTAGTGAGGATCTAAATAAGGGGGTGTGTAGTCAGCATGTGCAGGGCTTCTCTAATAGACGCTACTTCAGTTGCTCATACTTTGGACTGAATATTGTTTACTGTCATATGTTGCAAATGTCATGGTTGTTTAGGACTGGGCTTGTAACACTGTGAGAGTTAAATGTTGGAAATGGCCATTTTACTGTAACAATATAACCTAAAAAATGTTCTGCATATTTATTTATTTAGTATTACCATTACCTTGTATATTGCATTTCAGATGTATAACATGCCATGCCATGCTTTGTGGGTGCAAGTTCTCTACACTAGTACACATGGAATGCCAAAGGTTCCAAATATCTGAAATGGCTGGCTGATTGTTGTTGTTGTTGTTTACCCCAGGATGTTGTCATTCCCGACCCCTCATGGTGGCTGGAGGGCGTGTGTTTGTCATCCCATGCATACAACAGCTACAGAGGTAAGGAGGCTAGATACATGTACACAGTCTTGTTGTGCTTTATATACTTGGCATAGTGTGACCATGAATGATTCTAAGAATGCAATATTTGGTCATTAATGTGTTGTATACAATTACGTTGAGGTCATAGTACTCCACATTTTGCTTTTGTAATGTGATGTGAGATATTGCACAGCTGTACAGAAAATCTATGCTTCTAGAGTCTATTATCATATTAGTAATTAGATCATAACAGTAAAAACCAAATCATAAAAGCTTTTCAAATTATTTCAACAACTGGTTTCAACAATTGTGTGAGAAATTGTCTTCCTTTTGCAAATTGTATTGAATCTAAAATTGTGTATACATTTGTATGTGTGTTGTGCAAAGCTAATTATGATTCATGAATGTACATGTAAGGTAAAATATTATTGTTCTCCAAGTGCTAATTTTATTGTACAGCAATATTTGCATTTGTTGAACATGATGATGATTTCATATGTTGTTAAGTACCTACATGACATGTTGTTTCATGTTGTACAGTTGATGTGTACTTTAACGTTGATGATTTTTGTCACGACCCAGGATCCCCCTGAACACGCTGACTTTGAGCATTGACAGCCCCACAGTTTATACCCTAGCGGGTGTGCCCATTTCCGTGACGGGGGTGGCACAGGTAATGTCAACAAGCTTGTGTGTTCAACAAAGGTGGTGTCATTTCAGCAACTTGTGTGTGTGTGCATTCCTCAAATGGAATTGCTTGCTTTAAGGTTCATTACGCTTATGACTGAAGGTGTCTTTTTGAAAAAGAAATATTCATCATTGGATCAAAACATTAAGGAACAACTAAGTATTTTTCTTGAACATGTCTTTCATCTATAACCTTACAATCCAATCAGAAATATTGAAATCTTATCAAAATAACATCGGATTTACTCTCTTGGAGCATAATTGCAGTGAGAAATGCAGCACCAAGTGTTGAAATGTTGTTGCTGTCACTAATCCTTCTTTGCTCCTACTAATGATATTGTTCTTTCAGATATTGTCAACCCTGGAACCTCTAACATACTCGTGCTACAGTACTGTCATCTTTAGGCTACAACACACCTGACTGAGTGACTCTCTCTTGTTTTCCCCCTTGTATAGTCTTCCAGTTCAAAGGTTTAGACTAGATTTCAGGTAGACCAATGTTACAAGGCATTTTGTCAGACTAACATCATCCCAGTTTCCTTTTCCGTTTGTTTTTTACTAACCAGGACACTAAACCTCTTTCCCTCAAATGGAAAAGGTTGGTGTCGATACTAACCCACCCGTCTTCACTGTCTGTTGACACAGAATCCCCCTTACTGTGATGACCCTGAATATCGAGAGCCCTAAAGTCTACACTAATAACGGCGTGTCCATAACTGTTAATGGTGTCGCGCAGGTGCTCCATCTATCTCCAGATAACAGTACTGTAGTCGTGCTTGCTCTAGCTGTAGTTGCCGAAATGCTGCTGCTGGATTGAGTCAGTTGATCAAGTTCATGGAATGCTTTTTTGTTTGTTTCTAGAAGTCTGCATGTAGGTTGAGTTTTGAATTGCCAAAGTTGTTCAATATGTTCAAATATGTTGATGTAAAACCTGAACAGCAAAAAATACTAGAACAAAACATACAATACACAGCGTTTCATTATCTAAATCTCAGAGTTTATTGTGCAAGTATTTACATGTACATGTATACCTATATGGGAAGTGTTAGAGGGGTGAGTTGACAGTGCAGCAGCAGTAAAAAAAAGGCCACCATTGGTATAAAAGCACATTTGCAGTTGTTTTCTTTGACTTCACGCACATGTGCCAGAGCAACTACTCATGTACATAAACCTGAGATATTATCATGCATGTACTAGTAGCCATTGGGAGCATTCCTTTGCAAAACAATACTCAGTCATTGTACCTGTGGATTGCCTTTGATAGACTGCATGCAGTGTGCATTTTGTGATGAAAAAGAAAGCATGGAAATAGCAAACTTGATAACATTCATGCAATTCAGACATGAGCAACATTGGAGCTGATATCTGTTCACACAACACAAGGGCACAAGTTTGATTACTCAACAACATTGCAATCACTTTTCTATAATTTAGTCCACTCACTATCAACTGGACTATCATCAGTCAAACATTGATAGCCTACAGTGTACATATACTTCCTATCTCTTTCTTTTTTCAGCTATATCAAGATAAATAGATAAATGCATTTTATTTTGAATTTCTTTTGGAAGGTATTACTTGGGGATGTTCCATGTGAAAATTCTGTCAAAATTGAATCATCACTGCAGCAGTAAATCCTTAAGCTCAAGACAACTGCCCCTGCTCAATCCAGTTCATTGTTTTAAATGTTGTGTTCATTAACCACTTCTTTGTTCTTTCATTAGATTTTTGAAGTTCTCTCTCACCAGTACGTTACCGGCATTCTCCCCTTCTTACATATTGGTTACACACAAATTCTTTACGCATTTACCCTCTTTTGCTTCTTTCCTGTGTTTGTTTGTGTGTGTGTTTGTGTGTGTGTGGTGGTGGTTTTCTGCAGAATTCCCCTGAATACAATGACCTTGAATGTAGAGAGTCCCCGAGTGTACACCCATGAAGGAGTGGCTATCTCAGTCTCGGGTGTTGCACAGGTTGTTGGCCACTTCTACCTTTGTGTAGCCTTTTTTTTTTGTTTCAGCTTGTCGGCTGTAATATGATTTAACAACCCTGCACACCCACCTCCCCACTTGTTTCTTTTTACTTGTACATGTATTATCACTTCAATGCAGCTAAGTGCACCGTTTTTGTATGTCATGTTATGTATATTTGTGTTTTGTGCATGTATTTATATTGATATTCTATGATTTCACATTCTTGTCATTTGCTTATTTCTTAGTTTTAATTTTGACCTTGAGTATATAATGTCAATGTGGTCCTGCTGCTACACTACATTTTGGATACTATATTTCTGCACAGTAAATATGTAGTATAGAGAGGGTTTTACATTACTTTTTCTGCTAGTTACTAGTATTACATTTCATCATGAACTACATTGTACTGGTAGCTATCCTTTTAGTGCTTGAGAATAATGTTCAGGTAAGTACTTTTTCTGTCCATACAAAAGCTTTAAACATGACAGTTGCTGAGTTTTGGATGAAATGGCCCCAAATTTGTGTTACGTTGCACCTCACTGCTAGAATTATATTGCTGGCAATGGAAATAAAAACAAGCTCTAGCATGCATGGCGTTTCTCCTTTCTTATTTTATCACGTACTGAAGTGCAGTTCTGTCCTGTTCTGCTAGGTGAAGATCCAGGGGCAGAACCAGGAGATGTTGGCAGCAGCCTGTCAGCAGTTCCTGGGGAAGTCTGAGGAGCAGATCCGCCGCATCGCCCTGGAGACACTGGAGGGCCACCAGAGGGCCATCATGGGCACCATGACTGTAGAGGTATGGGGGAGCTAGGGGTTAGTCTCCCAGCAGAGGTTTGGGCTTATTTTTGGCATGTTTTTAGGCTTTTCGTTGGCGTAAAAAAAAAAGCAGTCCAAAAAAGAAAGCCAGATAAAAAAGATTTAAAAATACCTAAAACATGACAAAAATAAGCCAAAACCCAAACCACTGCTTGGAGAGTAGCTAGGGGTAGGTTCAAGGAGCCTCAGACTTTCAAATCAAAATTGCTGTGGAGGATTTTATTCTCTGTTTTGGTGATTGAAACAAGAAACATACAGAAACTAGGATGATATCTCAGGCTTTCACAATCTTTCTAATCTTTATTTTCTGATCTTAATTGGTTGTGGTATTTGTTCTGGGTTTTCTAAAGTTTGAAAAAATGCATGTTGAAGATAAATAGAGGTTTATGATTAACCTTAGACATGCTTAGTGGGTGACCCCAAATTGGTGCTGGACCAGGTGTGCTGGTACATGTAGCTCGGCCTGGTAAAGGTTAAGCCTCACCCCTCCTGTGTTTAACCTGGATGTGTAGGAGATTTACCAAGACAGGAAGAAATTTGCCCAGGCCGTTTTCCGTGTCGCCTCGACCGATTTCGTGAACATGGGCATCATCATTGTCAGCTACACCCTTAAGGATGTTCGGGATGAGGAGGTATTTACTAATGTTGCCATGGCAACAAGACCCTTAAAGACTGTGGTCAGCAGTGGCTCAGATTTTTAAAAAAGCAAATGATGGAAAAATTTGGGAAAAAGCAAATTATGGAATAATTTGTACAAATCATAAAAAAGAAGTCACTGCCGATGACAGTATTTAAGGTTATGGATATGTACCGCTCTGCTTGATAATTAATCTGCTTTTTTTTACCGACCAATGTCTTCCAATAGGAGATCTACAAAGATCGGAAGAAGTTTGCCAAAGCCGTTTTTGAGGTTGCCTCGACGGACCTCGTTAACATGGGCATCAGTGTGGTGTCGTACACACTCAAAGACATCAGAGATGAAGAGGTTTGGCCTCCAACATTTCCCCGCAATTTGCAGCCATTCTAGGAAATGTCTTACCTCCCTCCGTCCATTTGTACGGAGCTCTACTAATCAACTAAAGAATAGTCTGAATAGTCTATCACTCTGTGCACCCTTTACTGTACTAACAGCAATCATTAAGAACTAATTCAGCATTTGTCCTATATAGGGTTTCACCAGTAGTCCACAGTTGTAGCTTGTAATGTTACTGTTGCTGATACTGATACTCTGTGGTAAAAACTACACACCACATCTTACTGTTTCTGATGTCTTACTGGGGAACTTGGAAAAAATGAATGTACTGTCAACATGTTCCTAAGTATGGTGAGAAGTGGTGAAGGTCTTCATGCATGTCAAATTACACTATCTCACTGCCATTCTTCAAATCCATCTACACTGTAATTGATAACTGCTGATTTGTTTATGGATGGAGGTAATACTTTGTTAGAATGCTGTAAGCTGCTAGTAAAATCTGGAACAATCCGTGACCTCACCTTCAAATTATTTTTAAGCATTTTTCCCCGTGCGTGAATACTTTATTTTAACCACACATCTTCATATCTATTTTACCCAAACATTCAATCATAACATTGCGATTTCTGGTTTATTTTTCTGTCGCCCTCTTGCTGTCTTTGAGTGTTGTCGAGAGTTTGAGTAGACATCTTTTTTGCACGAGCATTGTTCTTTACTAAGTTGCATAACAGGCTGTGATTTACACTTCACCATCAGATATGTGATGACTAAGTAAGAAGTGAGACACTTTCACTTAAAGCTGCATTTCATGTTTGTCTAAAGGGATAAAAATGACTACTGTTTTGTATAGTGTGTCCTAGGCAAAGACTGCAATGTAAGCCATCCAACTAGCTTGAAAAATATAATAACTAGAAATGATTAAGTTCTACATATATCATGAAATACAGCTTTTTGTTATTACACGTTTATATGTATGTTTAGAGTTTAAACTTTTGGTCCAACACAAAAAAGTTCTCTAACCTAGAACTTTCGACCAGTCACTCTGGTCCTTCTCAGTACATGTAGACCAGTACAGTAATTTTCTACAGAACTTGGATAATGTAACTTTTGCTTTCTTGTAATAGACACAAACAGGTCTTAAGCATTAACTGACATCAAAAGGTTGAGATTCATGTAATACAAAGATGCATACCTGTGTAGTTGTACTTAAGACCCTTCCTTGTGCCTCCTCCGTTGACCACAGGGCTACCTGAAGGCCCTGGGTATGACTCGTACAGCACAGGTGAAGAAGGACGCTCGCATCGGTGAGGCAGAGGCACAGAGGGACTCAGGAATCAAGGCAAGGCACAAACTGTGGTTACTGATTTTGGACAGTAATTTAGGCACAGTAATTTGAGTAAGACATTGTCCATGTTGACACAGTACTACACTTGTAATAACTTCAAGTACAAGTGTTCTAAGTAATGATACCTTTCTGCTCAAGAAACCTGTCTGGATGGATGAAATTTTCCTAAGTTGACATTTTGTAATGATTCAACTAGAGCCTGTTACATGGGGTAAACACTGCTAGTGATATTAAGCTGGTTCTAAGATTGATCTCCATACATAGAACATCTTGCAGTCTTGTAACATACATGTACTTGTAGTAATCATGATTTAATGTCTGTACATTGTTAGGAAGCAAGTGCAGAGGAACAGAGGATGAAGGCTCGCTTTTCCAATGACACTGAAATCGCAGCTGCCCAGAGAGACTTTGAGTTGAAGAAAGCTGCTTACGACATGGAAACCCAGACCAAGGTATACAGGGGATCTTTCTGTGTACCATTTGTTCTTGGTACTGAAGTTTTGAATATGCTTTTTTATTACCTTATGGTTATGTTTATCTAAAGGTTTTGTTCTCTTCTTTCAACAGAAAGCAGAGGCAGAGCTGGCTTATGAACTACAGGTGAGTGAGTGTGTTTTCTTTCACATGGATGTCAAGCCCATAGCATTAGCCCAGCCCCAGTGGGTAAAATGCATACTTTGCTTTAGGATGTCATGGGATCTGGGATCTTGAAAATGATACATGCTACATCCTCTACTCATCACTATATGGGAAAGAGTATGAAAGTCGTACATACAGAACTACCAGAGTTCCTCAAGCTAACCAAAATCTATGACACCACAGTCATCCCTCAGTAAGACATATTATGGAGCATGCATGGTTCCCGTTAAGAACTTTTATTCACGGCCCATTTGTTTAGGAAGACGTGATGTTAAAGAACCACCATGTTTTCCCTCCAGGCTGCAAAGACAAAGCAGATGATTAAGGAGGAGCAGATGCAGATTAAGGTTGTGGAGCGTGCCCAGCAGATCCAGGTGCAGGAGCAGGAGATCGCACGTCGTGAGAGGGAGCTGGAGGCACAGATCAAACGTCCCGCAGAGGCCGAGAAGTACCGGCTCGAGACGCTTGCTGAGGCCAACGCGTAAGTGAGGTTTGAGAAAAAAAAGGAAGAAACATGAGAATCAAATGCATGTTATAGTTGTTGTCAGTCATCTGACATGGCAGGATTCGAACCCAGGACCTCTTGGGTCTGAGCTGAACACTGCCGTTGTGCCACACGACCCCACGTTATAGACTGTTGTCAAAATGGGTTCATATTCATCAAACAGCCTTTGCACAATCCTTAAAAGAGGGACAGAAAGATACAGCACCAACTATAGAATTGACCGTGGTAAGCTGTTGTGTTGGTAAGCTGATCTTATTTGACCTTCACCCTGTAGGAAGCGCGTGCTGATGGAGGCAGAGGCTGATGCTGAAGCTGTCAGAGTAAGACATCATCATTTTCTTTTTCTGTACACTTTCTGTGCACTTCAAGACTGGGTAATGGTCTTAGATTTGCAGTTTGATTCCTGTCCACTATACACTATGCTTACAGTGAGTAAAGTTTTCTTGGACCTGTAGTAACCCAGTGTTCCGTGTTTGTCCCACAGCTGAAGGGAGAGGCAGAGGCGTATGCTATTGAGGCCAAGGCTAAGGCTGAGGCAGAACAGATGGCCAAGAAGGCTGACGCCTGGAGGGACTACCAGGAGGCAGCCATGGTGGACATGGTGCTGGAGACACTGCCCAAGGTACGCACATCTCTGTGTCTGATTGCACTCAGACCTGGCTACATACAGTAAGAACCACCTGGCCAATCAATCTGATCATGTTTTGGTGGTCCCTTAGATGTTTTCCCTTTGACACAAAGATTAAGAATCCCATATATAGTGCCACCTGTCCAGATTTTATCTGTCCCCTGAGTGGTCTTCTGGGCAGTTTTGACTGTATATCAGAACAGTCATACGTACGGCAGTGTGTGTTTTGAATCAAGGATGCTTCTTCCCTGTTAAACCACTGTAAAAACTTCTTCCCATCCCCAGGTTGTTGCGGAGGTTGCGGCCCCGTTGTCCCAGACCAAGAAGGTGACGATGGTGTCTAGCGGGAAGGGCGAGCTGGGCGCCGCCAAGATCACGGGCGAGGTCATGGACATCGTGGAGAGGCTGCCGCAGGTTGTGGAGTCCATGACGGGCGTCGACATGTCAAAGGTCAGAGGGCGCAGCCTCATACAAGACACAGTAGAGTTTAGGTTTACAAAGAAATCTTATAATACAGCTACTTTTTATTGGTCTTCTACATGTACAACTAACAAGTTGACATGACAGTTTTCTTCTTGCTTCAAAGTAATAAATTTTAGGCTAATTTTTTTCACGAGTAAGTAGAACAGCACATATAATGGAAGGATAGTCTTGCTGTCATGGATTGAAAAGTTCACAATAGCTGGTAGAAAAAGTAGATTCAGCATCATGACGTACAGTTACAACAGAGAATTTGGAATTTATCATTTTCTTTTATGGAACAGCTCCACATACTTTCTGGTACACTCACACAGTAGGGCAGTAAAAACACCAAGCACGCAAGGTGTAGAAACGTTGTTGTGAGTATCATGATATAATGTTCCATGTACATGTAGCCTTCCTTTGGTGTTGCAGGTCATTCCAGGATTCAGTAGAAAGGCCCTTTTTTTCTCAGCACAACGTTTTGCACAGTTAGGAAACTTAGCACCAGACATGCACACTTTTGTGGGGCTTTTTTCTTGGGTCAAGACAAGGATTTTAGTTGCTTATGAAAAAGCTTCTGGTCAAATCTAGCATGTTCTGTGTGTGTGCAATGGTTGGTTCTGAGATACACCATATTATGTTTTGTAACTAAGTGTGCTTACTGATGTATTTTTCAGGCCTTGAAGATGCAGGCAAGGTCCGTGTAGATGCCATCACAGCTAATGCTGACATCACATCCTGTGTGGATGTCATCACAGATTTGAGTGGATGTCACCGCAGCCCCTGCTGACACGTACACACTGGCGGTCCAAAATGGCCGCCAGGATAGTGTTGTTATGTACGCTAGATGTTCATGTTAACGTAGCTAGTAGTTATCCTTCATCAACCCTTTCTAACTCAAGCCCATTTATATTCAGGAGTTAGGACTCTACTGTTGGTTTAATGTCACGGTTGTTTGTGAACTGCCTCCAAGATGCATGCCTTTTGGAATACAACAGGACCTAAAGTAATCACAATTGTACAATGTCTAGATAAGTAGTTACTCAGTCCCCACCTTTCTACTAAGCATAGTTGAGCGGAATTAGTGTTACTGCATCTATATAAGCATTTCTGTAGTTAAGTGTAGTGCAGCAGTGTTTTATAAATTATAAGAAGTGTCTCATCAAGATGGGATGTTAGACATTGGAAGGCACAGCCAAAATCTTTGTAAGCTTACATTTTAGTTATTTAAGTTCTGCCATTCACTATTGCCTAAGAGTACATGAGTAGTTGAGGCTTTCATTCCAGATGATATTCCAGTTAGTAAGAGCTACATGTGCTCTGTACAGGGGAAACTTAACAACAACTGCTGTGAAGAACTACATGGACATGTTTTTAAGTGTAATATAAGCAGATCTTTTGATTTTTTACTTGTAACATGTGGACACTTTTTAGTCGAATCTTTTGTAATCAATCCAAATGTTTTGTGTCTGATTGAAGGTTAATATTTCTTTATATATGTTACCTGCAAATAGACTCTCAATTTCACCACTTTTGCACCACACAGAAAAAAATCACTTATCTAATATATTGGATATTAAAAATTGAAAATGCAGTGTGTTGAGAAGCACTTTAATGTTATTGTAGTTGGGACAATGTTGTGGTGAAGAAAAAAATCACCAAGGAAAACTGAAGCTGCAACTAACAAACTGACAACTGCCTTGAAACCAGTAGTAACCAGTGATGTGTTGTGACTCACTCTTGTACAGTTTTGCAGGTCTTTCATGTATTTGTAAGTTTATATGTAACCAAGAAGACAACAGATGATGATCATTTTAAGTCACGTATGTGTACATTTTTGATTGAGAAGTGATTTTAATTCTCTTCGTTATGGAGAAGGGGAAAATTTTGCTGACCTGAAATGGCCCAATCTTGTACTGCAAAAAACAACACATATTGCCAAATCCATCAAATTTTCCAAACGTTTGTGACATTTTGAGTATAATAAGACAAGCTAGCACTTCTAAGTTGTCCAATGTAGATGTCCCTATATTTACATTATCAATGTTCTTCATTCCTTTACATTTTATAGACACTTATTAACTGAATGTGGAAATTAGAAGGTGTGCAAGATTACTGAATACCATTTACTCTTGCAACATTTTCTACAAAATAAGTGCATTTACACAAGATGTCGAATTTGGGAACATCTGGGAACAAAAAGGCTTTTTTCAAAACAATGATGGTTTTTACTCATTCTTTTGATAACAAAACTGGCAACAATGGAGCAAAAATGTTTATCCTTTTTGGAAAAACAATAAATTGGTTTTATACCATGTTTGATTTTACAAGCAAAATGATAAATTTTTCAACATTTTTTTATTAGGTACTAATCTGACTCTACCTTTGGCAGCATTTTTGTGGGGATGTACTCTTAGTATCTCAGGTAACGTTACACTGAAATGTATACTCTTTTGTCTCAACTAATATTCACATTTCTATTCAATGTATATAATTGTGTGATTCTGCATTAAAATTGTCTTAAGGACTGATGATGGATTCAATGTCTTTTTTTCTATGAGATTTTTTTATGAAACATCAGTTAAATATTTACCCTGAAGTTTACTAAATAACTTAAATTATTGGACAGTTATTGGAAGAATGCAATGAATTCATGTATATCATACATAATAGAAAATAGCTTGGGTTTGATCTCTCAATATAATCTGTACACAGGACACGGAACGATCGTTAATAGTCTACATTATACATTTACCGGTCATAGACCTACAGTTGGTGTATGAACCCCCAAAATCATTGACGCAATTCTTGGCCGATTGCCTCATACATGTACATGTTTTATTATTTCTCTGAGGTTTGCGTCCTCCATCCACCACAAAACCTGCCCTGTTATAAGTCCCCTATAAGTTGTCCCTTTCACAAATTTTCACACACCATAAAACTATAAAAAAAAGTTTCAAAACCGTGTTCTTGGGTGTTGAGGTTCCCAAATAAAGAAGAATTCAGTCAGCCCTGGAAGGCGTTGTTGCATCACCGGTATTTCAGCACCAAGGACAGCCATTGTCCATGTTTTCAAATACACGGCTGTAGGGGTTGTTTTATTACTACAATCTCGGAATGAATCGGTATCTAACCAAGATCTTTATGACGAAATAAAGAAAATCACACTGGTTTGTTTGGTTCCAGAATGCATTGTGTCACGTGCTTTATTTACATTTGTTCGAAACATAAGTTTTAAGCGCGTCATAATTACTAGTACCTCACCTCTCGTGTTTCTACCCCTAACTTTTTAAAAGATCGACTCATCACACCAGCCTTGTTGTAATTTCACCACCCTCTGACCATCTCTAGCTGTCTGCCTGTGTTATAGAGCCGTAGAACATGGCATTGTCCTGGTTTGTTACTGTTCGAGAACACACTTCTCGTTAACGTTGCCTATGGCGACGACTGACAAACAGACCCATGTTCGACGTTCGACACAAAACGCGCATCTTTCAAGCGGCGATTTTATCTGGTAACATTTCAAAGTAGTGCTGAGCACCGTGAGGAGTTAGAATGCCGCGATCGGTGAAACAGAAAAAGTACGCCTCCCGCTGGGCGAATGAGGCAGCTTCTCTGGCAAAAACGTTGACCAAACGGAGACATGACCATGACAACAACACAACAACAACACAGCGTACAGTGGAGGCAGCTGGTAAACGTTTGTTTTTGCTTACTTCTTTGTCACGCATCATCACCTTACATACTTGGGACTTCCCCGTGATAACTGACAGGACCTGGACTTTCGTAATTTTTCCAATTTCCTCTTGGAAATCTTCGTAACACTAGGAATACAATGGTCACGCCTGTACAAGAGCACATATTTTAGGAGTATAACGTTACTAGCATGATTATGTCTGTCTGTATACCTATCTTTTCCTTACGAATGTCTGTTGATGAAATTACTTAAAGTGTTTACTTAGTTTAAATCTAGGTAAAAGTATCATTGAGGAGAGTTGTGAAGCGTCTATTCTGTGGTCATTTGTGGGAAGGTTGCAACTGTCTGGATATCATTACTGTACAGATGTGAGCCCCCTTCCCACGGTGGATGAACTTACTGAAACACAAGCAACCCAGGATAATGGAAGAGTAAGTATTCTTTTCTTTGCTTCAGTTGACTTTCTTCTTCCACGAGACCTATTGTACACCAGCAAAACAAGAACTGGGGGTCAGAGAAAAAGCTTGATTCACAAAGACGTTTATTTTTGTTAGAAATATGCAAACAATTGAGATGGTTATCTGTAATAGTATAGGATGCACTGGCGATCTAACATTTCTTCCTAAAATGCGCATGTGTTACTTTCACAGAAGAACGCATCCAACCTGACAGTAATTGATACCAAGGATAAGAAGAAGAAAACACGTCCGGTACAGCGGACCAGTAACGTTGTCTCAGACGACTCCTCCGGAGATGAGTGGAAACCTTACTCGAGACGTCGGAAACGTCACAAGAAGAAGCACCGGTCGGGCCGCGGGAGGACGTCTGCATCAGGTAGCACGACTTCCTCCTCACTTCAATCAGAGCGCAATGATCAAGACCAGTCTACGGTGGAAGAGAGGAAACCGTCCGCACATCAGATTACGTTTACGTTCAGTCCGTGTACACCTTCTACTGATAGTAAAGGTAGCGACGGAAGGAATACGTCCGAAGAGAACGCAACAGGTGTCATGACAAAAGGGACGGCATCAGACGACGCAAAGAAGAGCGAATTTGGTATCACTTCCACCAAGCGGCCGTACGCCGTTTGGTCAGAATTTTGCGCCAAACTGCACCATGAGCTTGAGGAAAACAGACGCCACCAAGACAAACTTAAGGCCAAGCTGAAGTATGACGCTAAGAAGACGTACAAAGTGTACGTCGCCAAGAAAGAGAATGAACGGAAGAAGGAGACTGCACAAAGGAGGGAGAGGGTCAAAACGAAGTCCACTGACATTGTGACAAATCTCCACAGGAGTCAGAGCATTCCAGATGTAGTAAAGACAACCTCCACCCACCTGGATAGATCCAGACGTTCTGCTGGAGTAAAGCAGGTTACTTCACAGGGACGTGTTCATGTACAGGCTCCCAAGAGAACGGCTACCAACCTGACAACGTCTGCCAAACACCCTGCCCTGTTGTCAGCTACATTGCCAATGGAGTCCACTAGTTGCTCTACCAAACACCCTCCCTTATCTATGAGTGTAGCTGCACAGCCATGGACTTCCAAACATCGGCGCAGACTTGTCCTCCAATGGTTGAAGACATTGCAGAATCCCACCGAGAGGACAGGCAAGAAAAAGTCAGTTAACAGTCTGACTGTTCCCCCTGGGCCCCAGTCAACTGTTCCTGACCCTACACTTCCCCAACACAAACCGAACGACTGTTCTACGTCCCCTCCGTCGGATAAAGGCCCCCAGTCAAATAAAGCCACACAACAGTTGTTCTTGGGAGCTGACAAGGCCACGAACAAGGCCCCTAGTGACAAACTTGAAGGTGAAAACGTTGGCATCTCCAGCCATCAGAATCCATCCACCCAGGACCCTTGTGTAACCACCGAAAAGGTAACATGCTTTATTGGTAACCACCCTGTGACGTCACTCATTAGTACATTTGTCTGCTCTGTGCGACTTCAATTTTACTTTAAAATGACTGTATTCGTTTTTAACTTTCTTCTGTTCCTTTCTAAAACAATAATTGGAGTTAGTGGACCAGAGTCTCTATTCTTGTATGTGTATTTGCAGAGGATTGGCGATGATGTCCAGTCAAAGGGCACAATAAGTAAGGAGACCAAACCCCAACATTCTGTGTGGTCCAGTGACTCAGAGTCTGACAGCTCATCCAATAACAGTAAAACCATGCTGGAGGTTATCACTCCACAACACAGTACCACAGAGGGCAAAGGGAAGGATGAGAAGTCTCCTGAAGTGTCTACCTGTCCTCCATTCACACATACATCATCAGTCAACACCCCTGTTGAAAACCCATCTTCTTCATCCATACATGCTTGTGACAAGGACAGTGATAGTCCTTCCACACCAAAGAATAACTGATGACCACATGATAGAGTGAACTTTTTTTATTATTTTTGGCACACATAAAAGCACAGAGTTACAGATTCAGAGGCATATTAACTTAAGCTATAGTCACTGCTTTATCACAAAATCCTCAAACTTTTCTTAAACTGTTTTAGTCATTTATATTATTCTATGTCCATTAATCATAATAAAATTTCTTACACTCTATCATCTACAGCAGCATTATCTGCTTTCCACACATGGTTAAGAAGTTGTCATTTCCTTGATTATCATCTGAAAAACAGAAGGACAAATGTGATAAAACAGATAAAATGTACATTCAACAGACTACAACAAACTCTTCATACTTTCTATGGATATAGTCTACTCTACTCTGCATATTGAAAGCAGAAAAATCCTGCAGTATTAGACCTTTACCCAACACACTGTATACATGTACATTCTAGTAACACAGAAAGTATATATATTTTATTTTCATTCCCAACAATTTAATACAAAAAAAAAGCCATGAGAAACCTGCTGGTACCTTTGTGAGTTGGTACTGTTCCTGTGAGAGATCATGTATAACGTTGAAGTGATCTGTGTCTGGGATCTCCAGACAGGACACATCCATACCCAGTCCCTTCAACTGCTGCTTGGAACATTAGGTTGGACATAGTGACATAGTCAGCTAAACACTCCTATGATTTAGCACAAATGATTGTTTCCTGCTTATTACAAAAAACCTGAAAGCTCTTTAATTTATCAGAAATATTGCATACATGAAATGAAATGCCTCAAGATGAAAATTTTGAAAATATTATCATTTGCTATATAGTACACGTAGATCATAAGTCATCTGAACACACTGTAAAACTTTCCTTTCATTTCCAAACATAGGCTAGTACAAATACAAATAAACTAGTTCTTTTCCACATTTTCATAAGAATGACCTTTGGTTAATTGATGTTTAAAATCAAATATAAAGATTCTAATAAAAAAATTAATAAATTAAAAAAGTACATGTACAGTATTAGAAAATGTACAGGAAAGCAAAATTGCAACAGTCTAAACATGACAAACCTCTGTGTACTCCTTTGACTGCCTGTGAAACGTAGGAGGGTCATGCTCTCCAAATACTACCAGGACCTTGCACTTTGGATGGTTTTTCACTACAGCATTGCTAAATTGGCAGGGAGAGTTCCTCTGGGCATCCTCCCTGAAGATCACAAACATTGAAATCATCATTCATATAATCAATGAATCAATCAATACATTGCAGGGACTGCAGTAACAGTAAAGAGTTGTGAGGACACTGTGATACAAAACTATTTCATCAAGTTAAAAATCAGAAGCTGAAAAATTAAGGACATGACATACTTAAGTAGCTTTTTAAAAGTTACATGCTGACTGCTTATACTCACTCTGTCATCTTCAGAGGTTCATTTACATATGTCTTCACAAGAGGTGTTACGTCATACACTCCAGACACAAGAAAGGCACCTGCAAAAAAAGGAAATGGACACTTATTATGATATCAACATAAGCCTCAGACCATCTAGCAAGATGACAACAGCCCAAGCTTCTTACATATACTTTGATCCTGGAATACAGGTGTCTAATGTAGTACAGTGTGAACACCAAAGTCTTTCATGACATAGGAAAGTGCAATAGAGAGTGATGTTACCTTTTATAACTGGCACATGTCCATCTCTGACTTTTGACCAGTCACTAGACAGGACCATGGCACACAGATGACCGCCAGCAGAGTGTCCGCATATGTACAGACCCCTTCAACACAACAACATGAGTAGGTGCAGTGTAAGATGCTTGAAAAATGTTAAAATTCTGAACATGGAGAAACAGTATACCAGGTACGTTAGATGAGGACTTTGATTTCCTAGCTTGTGATCCAGGACAGTATTGCTTCACATTACACAATAATATACAGGACAATCAAAGGTACATGGTTCATACCTTGACGAGGGGAATTTTTCACTCAGGAAGGAGACAGCCCTTCTAACCTGGTCAACCATCACATCTATGGTTCCTGTAGATGGGGACAGTTGTTACATACATAAGGATAATATCCAGTAGTGCCCATCTTCTTGCAGTGCAGTGTAAACTTTGTTAGGTCCTAGACTCTGTCATTCCTAACAGCATGTACATGCAATGTAGACTGTCCTTTCATCCATTTACATACTGTACATCTGTTCAAAGTCGTATCTGGTACCAACCTTTTGGTGCAATGTCATAGTCCACAGCCACCACCATCACACCTGCTGCTGTCAGGGGGAGAGCCATGAACCCTGACTGATCCTTACTGGTGGACACAATGTAATGGGTTACCGTATGCCGTCTCTGATCTGTATCTTCTTGCAAGCAATTGTTGTCTGTGATATTGATTGAATCTTTTGTATGATACACAAAAAACATTCCTAAAATTGTTTATACATGGACATTTACAAATATTGGAATGTATCAAACTCTGATACATGTAAGTTAGTTCAAGCTTAAGACAAAACACTTACCTTAAAAACTGCCAGTATCCTCCATGGATGTATACAAATATTGGGGCATCTAAAGAATTGAATGGAAAATATCTGTGAGGTTCTTAATCACTGATGCTTTTGATGAACAATCATGTAATATTACAATAATGAGCAAAACTTTTACTCCAATTTTAGAAAGACATTCTGTATCTGTATAGCTGGTATAATCATCTTTCGGCATAACACACCAGCTATATTCTGGATAGAATTAATATTCTGGCCTTCCTTGTTGATACCAGTAAAACTTTGCTGTTTTATAATACATATAAACCTACCACTCCTGCAGTTGTCTGGTTTGTAGATGTCCAGTTTGTCCCCTTCCTTGTCTCCATAGGGGACGTCTAGCTCACACTGCAGCTCAGCCCTGGATTTGTCTGTAGCTATGGAAACAACACCAGGACATTACATCTTAGAAAAAAACAATGTCCTGTCAATATATGCATGATCTGCTTATACATATTTTGTTTGTTGACAGGACATTTTTCTTATATTAAGAAAGAAAGATTAGGAAATCATGCAATAATGTACATTTCTGTATCTGTATCTTACAGTAACTACCCGAAACCAGACCTACCATTTTGCGTAACTTGGACATGGTCCTGTACCGCTGCCTCTGCTTCTAACCGGTGGGACCAGCGACTGGGCGAGTACTGGTAATCCAGGTCCTAATCATACAAACAAAATGTGAACAAAAACAAACTATAAAGCATTAAACATAGAGTTTAGAAG